AGCCCCCCCGAGCCCAGCTCCTCCCTGCCCCCATTTCCCTACCAGCTAATGTCTAATGTCTCTCCCGGCACTGACAACTCCCCTGTGGGTGCTGAATGCAGGCACCTGAGCAAGGCGCCTTCTCCCAGCCCAAGGGGCTGCAGCCCTAAGGGTAGGAGGTTAAAGGGATTGAGTCTGGTGTTTCCCCTGTCCCCAACCATGGGGCTGCAGTTCTGGAGGGGACTGACAGGGACAGATTCCAGCCAACCCGCCCCACAAACACACACCTGCAAAGGGGGTGCAGCAAGTTGAAGGGACAGAGTCCAGCTGCCGAACTAAATTGGTAATGAAAGAGGTGCCAGGACTCAAGCAACTTGTTACATTCGGGGGGAGGGATAGCTCAGTGGTTTGAGCATTGGCCTGCTAAACCCAGGGTTGTGAGTTCAATCCTTGAGGGGGCCACTTAGGGATCTGGGGCAAAATCAGTACTTGGTCCTGCTAGTGAAGGCAGGGGGCTGGACTTGATGACCTTTCAAGGTCCCTTCCAGTTCTAGGAGATGGGATATCTCCATTCATAACTGACGCAGCAAGCCCAGAGGTGACGGGGCTCAGACCAGGCACAAACTAAGCACTGTCCAGTTGCCTTTTCCCTCCCCCAGCCCCAGCGGTTAAAGGGGCAGAATCCAACGGCCTTTTCCCATCCTCAGCAGGTGCAGCCCCAGGGGCTACAGGGACTGACACCAGCTGCCCCACAAACGCAGCTGCAGCCCCAGGGTTGACCGGGGTGCAAAGCGCGCACCCAACTGCTGCCTCCCCTGGTCCAGCCAGCGGCTGCCCTGCGCTCGGTACCACATGGACCCACTTCTCCTCTCGCGAAGGCTATGCCAGTCACTCAAGAGACTTACGCCGCCCTGCAGTCCCTGCCCGCCTGTCTAGCACCCCATTCAGCTCTGCAGCACCCTGTGAGCTGTGGGAGAATAGGCCATGCCCCCTTCTCCAATGGGGGGGAAGGGGCATCAATGAGTCACCCACTCCAGGAGTTAGGCCAGGCAGCTCTGTACCCATAGGGGCTGGGGTAGAAACATAGATTATTAAGGTTGAAAGGGACCTCAGGAGGTCAACTAGTCTAGCCCCCTCCTCAAAGCAGGACCAATCCCCAACTAAATCCCCAAATGGCCCCCTCAAGGATTGAATTTACAACCCTGGGATTAGCAGGCCAATGCTCAAACCAGTGAGCTATCCCTCCCCTTGTATGACTCTGTCATAGAGACAGAGTCCCATGTCAATAGCAGTCAGGAGCCCAAATACCTTTGTTGATCTGGGAGAGAGGGGCCTAGGAGGAGCCTGGTGATGGCTGAGCCCCATTGTGCCGCGTTGCACAGACACACAGGGAGAGACAGTCCCTGCCCTCGCTGAGATCAGGGCCTTGTTGTGCCGGGTGCTGCACAGACACACAGCGAGAGACAGTCCCTGCCCCCGCTGAGATCAGGGCCCTGTTGTGCCGGGTGCTGCCCAGACACACAGCGAGGGACGGTCCCTGTCCCCAAGAACTGAGCATCTAAGGCAGGGATCGGCAACCTTTCAGAAGTGGTGTGCCAAGTTCACTGTAATTTAAGGTTTCGCGTGCCAGTAATACATTTTAATATTTTTAGAAGGTCTCTCTCTATATAAATCTATATTATATAAATAAACTATTGTTGTATTTAAAGTAAATAGGGTTTTTAAAATATTTAAGAAGCTTCATTTAAAATAAAATTAAAATGCAGATCTTATCAGTTTAGTGTGATCCTTGCCCTCGCTTTTCCTTGCTGAGTTTTCCAATGTGGGCTACAGCAGCAGGGTGATTGAAGAGTGCTGGGTCGAGGCCAGGAGCAGAGCCCCGGGATGGCTGCTGGTACCCCAGGCTGGCAGTGGGCTGCGCAGGGCCGGCGGTTGGAACCCCAGACCAGCAGCGGGATGAGCCGCTCAGCCCACCGCCGGCTCCGCTCAGTCCGCTGCTGGTCTGGGCTTCCAGCAGGGGTGAAAGTAACTTAAATTTCTTACAGGTACTGTCGTATTGCAACCCCCCTTGGGGGAGAGGAGCTCAGGGGCTGGGGATGTGTGTGGGGGGGGCACTCAGGGCAGGGGGTTGGAGTGGGGGGGGCTCAGGGCAGGGGGTGGGGATGTGGATGATGCAGGAGTCAGGGCTGGGAGCATGGGGGTGCAGGAGTCAGCGTTGGGTGGCATGAGGGGCTCAGGGCAGGGGGTTGGGGGGAGGTGTAGGGGGGAAGTCCGTGGGGGGGCGGGGACTTGGGGCTGGCCTGGGACAGTCCCGGTTGCAGCTGGGTTACCTGGATGGTGGGTGGGTCCCTGCCCCACGCTGTTCCTGTTCCTGCCAAAGGAGCTGTGGGCCAGCTGTGTGGGGGCACTGCATCTGCAGGCAAATGGGGGGCAGTGGCAGAAGACCCCCAGCCTGCCGCTCCCTTCCCCTTCCCCTTCCCCCCCAGGGGCTGCAGCTGTGCACGCTGCAGGGACGGCTCGTGTCTGCACTGCCCTGGTATCCAGCCACAGTGGCGAGAGAGGGGCAGCAGGACAGGGTGGGACCCGGACACCTCCACCGCACATCTTGCCGGCTCCTTTCCCTTGCCTGACTGCCTGCTGCTTAGTCCGGTGCACGGGGCCGCCGGCCACCCGCAGTGGAGTGCCCCAGCATCAGCCGGCTCCGAGCGTGCATGCTCTGCCTTACTTTCACTTCTAGGTTCCGGCTGCCGGCCCCTAGCCAGCCGGGGTCCCAGTTACGCTGGGATAAGTGAGAGCAGACGGGGCCCTGCACTTTGCATGCCCGATAGCCGTGTGAATCAGGGACTCATGCCAGGGCTCCATGCGCTGCAGCACCCCGGCCTGTCTGGCCATGGGGCTGAGAAACTTGGACATCTGGTGACTGAAGCTCCTGGCCACGCACAGCAGGGACAAGGCAGAGCTGCAGCAGCTCAGTGCCGGCTGTGCCAGCTGCAGCGAGAAGATGCCCAACCCGGAGCAGCCGAACGCAGCACTGCCCACAGAGCTGGGCCAGGCGTGTGCGTCAGCCTCTGCCAGGAGGAGCCGTGTGAGCGGTTGGCGCCTGCTGGAGCTGTTGGGCAAGGAGCAGGATCCCATCCAGGGGGGGCACGACAATCTGGCCATGCTCAAGGAGATGTGACTGGGATGGGAGGGGCACAGAAGCATCAGCTGTAGGGGGGCCAGGGGAATTGGGTGAGGAGGGGATCTGTGAGGGGTTGCCAGGGGACTGGGGTGCAGGGATCTGGGAAAGGAGGGGGTGCTGGGAGAATGGGGGCCAGATGGGGAAGGGCTGCCAAGGTGACGGGTGTGGGAGGGAAGGGGTGCTGGGGAACAGGTGCAGGGATCTAGGAGGGCTGTGGGTGCAGAGTGGTGGGGGATGTGCTGGAATGTAGGGGGAGGGCGGGGAATGGGGGTGCAGGAAGGCAGGGGGTGCGGCAGGCTGCGCACTGGCTGCGAGTGAGAGGAAGGGAATGGGGAGCCGGGAAGGGGCCCTGGCTGGAGCTGACTTTCTGCTCTGCACCACAAACCCGACATCGGGACAGCTGGGCGTGAGACAAAGCCACGCCCCTGAGTGACAATGGACCGAACCCCCCTCCGCCCCCCCGGGAGAGGGAGACTATTTCCATTCCCGAAGGGAAAACGGGACCCCCTGAGCCCCGCCCCGCACGTGGGGCTTTCCCGAGCCCGGCCTGACCCCGCGCGAGCCTGGCATCGCCGCTTGCCCCCCCCCGCACTATTTGACACAAGTGGGGATTTGCCTCGTGGCTCCTCCCAGCTGAGCGAGCGGGACAAACACCCGCTTTTGCCCCAAACGCTCCGGACTGGCGGAGGCGCGTCTCCCGCGGAGCAGCCACCGGCCCCGGGGCGGGGCTCCCTCATTGAAACGGGCCAGCGCCGCAGAGCGCGGAGAGGGGCGGAGCAGAGCGCAGCGCAGCGCGAGCCCGTGACCGGCCGAGAGATT